ACATGGCCAGCAAGCCACTCCCACCAGGTCACATGGCCAGCAAGCCACTCCCACCAGGTCACATGGCCAGCAAGCCACTCCCACAAAGGAGGCCAAACCCAGAGTAGGTTCCAAAAATTTTTGAAACCCACCACTGGATTCCATCTAAAACAAACTTAAGCCAATGATTGTAAACAGATCATAACCAAATTTAAAGTGGACTAAATTAAATTCTGCTAGCGGAAAGCCAATACTGTAGATATGAAAAACCAAAACACTAACACAGGATCATACTGACACTTCATTTTTATGATAATAAATAAATCTGATTCGTTTAGAAATCTGAGTCAGCTTTCCCCCATCATTGTAAAGCTCCCAGAATTTGAATATTAATGCAGCTATATCATTTTTCCCCTTCCAACTTTACTTAACCTTCTTTCAAAAAAAGTGACTTTTTCTTCATGAAAGCTTTGTATAGTAAATTAGATTAATAAGTGTTCCAGCTGCTATCACTGAATTTTAACCATATTGGTTTCTTCTTTGTACTGTTTAGTCAAATTACCCAAAACGCCAGTTTTTTCCCTATTTTGTGCATGTACAGATTTGAGTGTTTTAAATAGGAAGCCTCAGAAATCTAAGCAGATACATACACAAAGTGGCATAAGAAGTTCTGAAAATTTACGCTGCTGTATAATAGCAAAAAAGGATGTTTAGATGATTTCTGAAGAAGTTCTTATTCCAAAAATGCAATGATGCTCCCTGCTGGTGGGAATGCTCTGAATACCCAACACAATAAGAAAAAGAAAAATATTGAAATGTCCAAGCCCAAAGTTCTAAGTTACTGAAGATTGTCTCTATATAGGAGCCTTGGGGTGGCAGTGGTTAGGATACAATATTGCAGGCTAACTCTGCCAACTGCCAGCAGTTTGATTCTGATCGGCTCAAGGTTGACCCATCCTTCCAAGGTCAGTAAAATGAGGACCCAGATTCTTGGGGGCAAGATGCTGACTCTGTAAACTTCTTAGAGAGGGCTGTAAAGCACTAGTGCAGTGTTTTTCAACCTTGACAACTTGACATCCTATGGACTTCAANCCCCAGCCAGCATTCGCTGGCTGGGGAATTCTGGGAGTTGAAGTCCAGACATCTTCAAGTTGCCAAGGTTGAGAAACACTGGTATAGGGTAATGGTATTTCCTGCTTGAACAGGGGGCTTGACTAGAAGACCTCCAGAGTTCTGATGTTTGGCTTCCAGATCCTGTGATTTTATAATCATGAGTCAGAAAAAAAGGGAGAAACAAGAAAGAAAGAAAGAAAAGATTGTTACTTACTGCGACTGTAGGTTTATGGTGTTGGATGGGTCGGACAAGCTCTGCCGAATGAATCTGACTTGACTTACAACAGGAAGTAGGTGGTGGAGAGGGGATTAAAGTTTGTGTTAAGCCAGGAGGGGAACCGACACCGAATCTGAAGTTCCTGTTGCTTCTGGAGTGCTGATGGAGGGAGAAAGCCTTAGAAACCAAGGCGGAGTCCGTGGTGGTTCCGTTTAAGGGATGCATGATGGCCAACAGCTTCTTCTTGGCGCCTTGCAACTCATTCTTCACATTGTTTAAAAAATACGTGGATTGCCTCTGCTTGCCCAAAGGGGACCTTGGGCAATTGCTTTCTGACGCAGTAGTTAGATGCCCTGGAGAAGTCTTCGGTCTGCTTTGGGGAAGGTTGAAAAGCTGTGGTAGAGCACCAGGCATTGGCGCTAAAGGCTCTTCACCGTCATGTTCTTCAGAGGTGGCTGAGGAAGACTCCTTGTCTTCTGAACCTTCCTGCTCCTCAGGACGCTGGTCTAAGTCCTCCCTTGTCGTCTTCTCTCGGCTGCCAGGGCATCGGAGGCTCTCAAACCTGGTGCCCAGATTCATACAGCTTTGGAGACGTGACATTTCTTTGGTTTTGCAACTTGTTGCCTTGTGGCTATTGGCCACGTTTTCCTTGGAGTCCACCAACAGAAGCCAACAAGGAGGGGCTGTGGGATACGTACTAGCGGTCCTGTTAAACCAGGGAATCTCTTGCCTTGAGGCCGAGTCGATCCAGTAAAGGACCTTTTTCTCTAGTGAAAAATCAGGCTGTTGAAAGGCAAGATGATGAAACGTTAGCATCTTCCCAGCCAAGCTAAACACGTAGAGAAGATGAGACAGAATATGTGATGTCATTCCAATATCCAATGTTACAACATCTGGAGCTTCTCTTTCCTTGAGCCAGATCCCAAACTATCTTTGTCCATCAAACCCCTTGGTGTCATCTTGAAAATATGACTTTGATATAACCAAAACAAAAACAAAACCCCCAACCTTAAAGGAACCATTTTAACTGAGACCAAATTGTACCTTAAATTCTACTATCAATAGTAATTGTCTTGGGATGCTTACAAGTACAGGGAGTCCTCCACATACGACCACAAGTGAGCCCAAAATTTCCATCGCTTAGTGAGACGTTTGTTAAGTGACTTTTGCCCCCAATTTATGATCTTTCTTGCCACAGTTGTTAAGTGAATCACTGCAGTTGATAAGTTAGTAACACGGTTGTTAAGTGAATCAGGCTTCCCCGCTGACTGCTTGCCAGAAGGTTACAAAAAGGGATCACATGATCCTGGGATACTGCAGCTGTCATAAATATCAGACTTAGTCGCCGAGCACCTGAAGTTTGATCATGTGACCATAGGGATCCTACAAGGATCGTACGTGTGAAAACCGGTCCTAACTTACACACTATTGTAAATCTGAATGGTCAGCGCAATGAAGTGCTGTTCATTAACCTTTAGTTGAGCAATACATTTAGATGAGGTTGGTTTTAATTCATCCAATATCTTAAATTCTCTTATCAGATTAGAATGTTGCCAAAAATATTAAAACTTTCTAAAAATATTACTGTGTTTTCCCAAAAATAAGACAGGGTCTTATTTTCTTTTGGCCACCAAAATAAGCGCTTGGCCTTATTTTCGGGAAGGTCTTATTATTTTTGAGGTACAGGAGGCAGTGAGCGTGGTCACCTCATGGCTGCTGCTGTGCTGCAATATTTTCGGGGGAGGGCTTATTTTAGCACATGTGCTGAAAAGCACGATTGAGCTTATTATCCCAGGAGACCTTATTTTCCGGGAAACAGGGTTAAAATTAACAAAAACAACAGTAAAACAATGTAACTAGTAAATAGTGCACCAAACAAAAATTAAAAATACATCACTTCAATGTAGAGATATCCAAAATCAATCTGAAAATTATTCTATCTGTATGCATATTTCTTGAGTAGGCAGGGATCCGAGGAAATAATGAATGTTGAACTGCAGGTATGATTCCATCAGAGGTGGGTTCCTACCAGTTCGCACCTATTCGGTAGAACCGGTTCGTCAAATCTACCGAACCGGTTAGAAGAGGTTCCACCAGTGGACCCGGAAAGGAGGCCACACATACAGAAGAGGTTCCAAAAATTTTTGAAACCCACCATTGACACACACACACACATACACAGAGAGAGAGAGAGAGAGAAAGAGAAAGAAAGGAAGGAAGGAAGAAAGAAAAAAAAGAAAAAGAGAGAGAGATGAAATAAAAAAAGAAAAAAGGGACAGAGAGACAAAAGGAAGGGAGAGAGAGAGAGAGAGAGAGAGAGAGAGAGAGAGAGAGAGAACATGGCCAGCAAGCCACTCCCACCAGGTCACATGGCCAGCAAGCCACTCCCACCAGGTCACATGGCCAGCAAGCCACTCCCACCAGGTCACATGGCCAGCAAGCCACTCCCACAAAGGAGGCCAAACCCAGAGTAGGTTCCAAAAATTTTTGAAACCCACCACTGGATTCCATCTAAAACAAACTTAAGCCAATGATTGTAAACAGATCATAACCAAATTTAAAGTGGACTAAATTAAATTCTGCTAGCGGAAAGCCAATACTGTAGATATGAAAAACCAAAACACTAACACAGGATCATACTGACACTTCATTTTTATGATAATAAATAAATCTGATTCGTTTAGAAATCTGAGTCAGCTTTCCCCCATCATTGTAAAGCTCCCAGAATTTGAATATTAATGCAGCTATATCATTTTTCCCCTTCCAACTTTACTTAACCTTCTTTCAAAAAAAGTGACTTTTTCTTCATGAAAGCTTTGTATAGTAAATTAGATTAATAAGTGTTCCAGCTGCTATCACTGAATTTTAACCATATTGGTTTCTTCTTTGTACTGTTTAGTCAAATTACCCAAAACGCCAGTTTTTTCCCTATTTTGTGCATGTACAGATTTGAGTGTTTTAAATAGGAAGCCTCAGAAATCTAAGCAGATACATACACAAAGTGGCATAAGAAGTTCTGAAAATTTACGCTGCTGTATAATAGCAAAAAAGGATGTTTAGATGATTTCTGAAGAAGTTCTTATTCCAAAAATGCAATGATGCTCCCTGCTGGTGGGAATGCTCTGAATACCCAACACAATAAGAAAAAGAAAAATATTGAAATGTCCAAGCCCAAAGTTCTAAGTTACTGAAGATTGTCTCTATATAGGAGCCTTGGGGTGGCAGTGGTTAGGATACAATATTGCAGGCTAACTCTGCCAACTGCCAGCAGTTTGATTCTGATCGGCTCAAGGTTGACCCATCCTTCCAAGGTCAGTAAAATGAGGACCCAGATTCTTGGGGGCAAGATGCTGACTCTGTAAACTTCTTAGAGAGGGCTGTAAAGCACTAGTGCAGTGTTTTTCAACCTTGACAACTTGACATCCTATGGACTTCAAGTTGTCAAGGTTGAGAAACACTGCACTAGGAAATGGTATGTAAATCTATGTGCTAAGTGCTATTGCTAAAGGTAGCCCTCAACTTACAACAATTTAGTGACTGTTCAAACTTAGAACTGGACTGAAAAAAGTGACTTATGACTACTTTCACATTTACAATCCATGGTATTGTGATCAAAATTTGGTTGCTTGGCAACTGGCTCATATTTATGATAGTGTCTGTCCTGGGGTCAGGTGATCCTCTTTTGCAATCTTCTGACAAGCAAAGTCAATGGAGGAAGCCAGCTTCATTTCACAACCATGTTATTATGCTAACAACTGCTGTTATTCACTTAACAACTACGGCAAGAAATGTCAGAAAATTAGGCAAACAACTGTCACTTAACAACTGTCTTCTTAGCAACAGGTATTTTGGGCTCAGTTATGGTCATAAGTCAAGGTTTACCTGTACTGTGTCAGAAATCTTTTGAGAATAACTGTAGGCTAGGATGGGTGGATGGACGGACAGACAAATAGGCATTTTATTTGGAAACTGCTATAGGGATTGTTATAGAAATATACTTCAAAATTATCAGGAGACAGTTAATTATTTGCAGATGGATTTGCATGTGTAATAGAGAAAAACCAAGAAAAACGTACTGCATTGATAATGATCTAGCAATTGCATTTTTAGGATTAGCTGAAATACAATATTTCTGCTGTGAATAACACTTGGTTTGCAGAGATTTGTATCCAATTCCCCTCTGGCAATTCAGTTCTTTTCTTGATTTTAAGGCAAGCCAATACCAACTAGCTTTTTCAAACCCACAAACTATGATTCAAGCTTGTTTTGCAAATTACAGAGAGAATCCAGACACTCACTGAGATGACCACTTTTAGCTAGTACAGCAAAAAAAAAATTGTTTGTAAAAATGGTGAATATTTGCAGCTCGGGTGTAGGATGAGGGTAAAGGTTCCTTCTTTGAGCTTATGGGTGGCCCATCAATGTAGTAATTAAAAAGTATTACAGCAATTCATCCATTTACCATTGTGCACGTTAAGACCTCTGCAGACTCGGGCAGTTCAATTTCCATCTGGCCGGCAAAGTTGGTGTCTCCCACAGGATCGTCCACAAAGCTTATGGTCACTCTGAAAGGTACACCTTCCAAGTAGCTCATTACGTCCCCAACTATGTTATTCTAATAAAAAGAAACCAAAAGACTTAAGACCCCATTTAATTGCTACTGGCTATTTCAAAGGACTTATTGCCAGATGTCTAATGCAGAGATTAAATCACTTGTGCTAACATGGAAGCCAGCTTTAATGTGCTGCACGTATATTTTTGTTAACTCGTTCCACAAGTGGCACTGTTGCGTTTCCAGAACATTAGCCATGTGTTGCTCTAACACAAAAGACTTATTAAGCCAAGTGTCATGGGAAGGTGAGGGACTGAACAAACTAAGCAGGAAGTGATGAATCACGTCTTATTTTGCCCTGTCTTAAGAGTCAGCTAAGGGAGGACAGCCACCATCAATCTACTTGCTTTGGCCAGGAGTTTAACTGTTTAACTATAAATTTCAATTTAGTAGTGATTATATATATAATTACTGCTTCCCATCAGAAATATGGGACTGAAATTACAAGTACGACTGCATTACAGATCATATATTATTTATGTTTCTGCATTCTCGATTTTGTTTGTGCAAAAGTTGGAAAAAGAAGATGTGTACAAGCTCCTTCCCATCTGCAACTTATCTGTATTTGTTAGCAAGTCAAAATTAGACATTCCTAAATTCTAGGCTCCTGGCATGGTATACTATTTCACAGTAGAGAAGCTAGTGTGCCACACTCTGCAGTCACTTCTGCGACACAAGAAGAAATTAAGACAAAGAAACCTGTTCTTCTTAAGTCCAGAGAACTCCATATGTTGATCTAACTCAGGTATACATAGCACATAAAATCTGTTTTGAGTTTATCAACTGTTATCTTAAGGAACCTTTAGGCATTAAAATCAGTTAAGATAATTAATGACTTCAGATGGAAGTTATAGAAGATTCGAGGCAAGGAAACAAAATTGTCGATTTCCAGAAATCTGTTTCCATGTATCTATTAAATATTGTAATTGTTTTACAATTTACAACTTTCCTTTGTAAAACATTTAACAGGTAGCATTTTCACCTCTTATCTATAAAGCAACATAGAATAGAATTCATCATATTTCCTCCCAATTCAGCACCACAGTTCCCGTAACACCTAACAAGACCGATGTGAAAGGCATCAAGTTAAGAAAAAACTGCCCCAGTCATTTTAACAGCTGAATATGAATAGATTTAAAAGTGTCAGTTAAAATGATGAAGGCAATACAATCCTTTTATTGTGCCAGTTTGAATTAAGGATAGAAGATAAAAATCTGAATTAGCAATTCCTAGATGGAAAAAGATAATAGATTTCATGAACTCTCTAGTACTTGATCCCAGAATAGATCACAACTAGAATATTAGACGTGTAATATTTATCTCTGGTTGCAATTTAAAATGCCAACTTTAAGTGCTATTAATTTTTAAAAATATTTTTTTTTTAAAAAATAAAGACTATACAAGCAAAAGGAGCAAAATATTAGAGAGAAATGTATTAAATGGAAAAAGGAATTACTAAGAGTGTGAATTTAGTACTCAGTACATGAACTATTGATTAAAAAAACAAGTACATTCAATTATTTTGTAAGGATTGGAATCCCCGAGCTAAAAAAAGAAATGTTAGATTTATATTTCTGTCTGCATACAAGAAACCCACCTATGAACTCCTACCTATTTCTACAGTTTAACATTCAACTCTCCAGATTACACACATTTATTTCTTAGGTAAAGGAAAACTCACCTTAGCAAGGAATTAGAAAGGCATTTGCCATTGGAAGACAAAGGCGACTTGCTGGAAATCACCTCCACTGTTGCAGAGGGGCCCTGGCCAAGCCTAATGATTAGAGCTGCTTGAGTAAGCGCTTGTCGTCAGGTTTTCCAATGGGGTAAGCAGTCTAATCAGCTCTAGAATCCATATATAGGTCGCTATGCCCAGTGAAAACATATAATCAGGACTGTCTCAATTGAAAATGTCTGGAAACAAGAAGATGCTTTTGGGGTATTTGTGTTTGTGTGTGATTCAATAATAATATGAAGTAAAATATGCAACAATTTTGTTTCCCACAGTGGCCACTGCTGCATCTTGTGGCTTTTTGCTTAAGGAGGTTCTGTGCCATGAAAGAAGCAAAATAAATGCCAGATACAAGCATTGAAATGCTGAGAATTTATTAAGTACAAACAAAAGGCAACCTTTTATTAAACAGGGCTATCAGTCTCTCTGACAATTTACAGTTTCCCATTACAGCATCCTCCAGACTTTGTCTCCAACTTTACAAAACAATAAAGCAAGCTTTGCAGATGATTTGACAATTACCTTCCAACAAAAGTTTATTTATTGCACACATGTACCAGATAAAAGCTATAGTTTGCACTAGCAATTTGGGTACAACTTTCTCCTTTATGCTATTAAAAGCCATGCCTGGGGTTTCAATTTTTCTTAGGTCTGAGAAAAGATGATTTAACAGGGTTTGTGGGCGTATTATTTATACAAATAAAATGTGTTAAAATAGTAATATTTTTTTCTTAAAGAAATGCAGGAAGAAGTACGAGATAAAGAACACTCAGTCTTTCCAGTGTAAATAATGCTAAACTAAAACAACTGGTATTAAATACTTAGAACTTTGTTTCAGAAGTAAACAGATCTGAAGGAGCAAGTGAACATAAAATAACCTAGTATGAAAATGGTATTCACCGAGCAGTAGAGAAAAGTAACAAGGTCTGGTATGAATAATTTCTTTTGGTCAACAATAGTAATTTCTAGGTGTTTTTTTTTGCAATTTATGAATATCAGAATTTATACAGAAATGAGCATTTTTCTTAAGAACTTTTTATAGGAAATCTGTAGAAGCACATACAGAGTTCCTAAGCAGTTAGTAATTCACAGGTAACAAAATCTCTATCAGCTTCCTCTTTACATTCTTTCACTTCAAGGAATGAATTGTGTTGCTGCAGTGTTTACCATTTATTTAAACTAGAAATGTGCCCTTCAGCTAGGGTTGTAAACTAGGCTAGCAAAGGGGTCATTTATTAAAACACAGAAAGGGGAGCAGGAGAGCACAGAAGTTCAAGATTCCTTTTTTGAATGCCAAACTATGCTTTGATGTTATAATGAAAATATGAAGAGGCAAAACCCTTTTAGATTATATCCCTATCCTATTATCCCACTTTAAGAGAAAAACAAAACGAAGCAAATGCTTCCCTAAGCATGTGAATCACATATGTGTGTATAAATGAAAGCCACTTTTTATGGCAACATGTAAAAAGCTAGTTAATTCACTCCATACAACTCCAATTTAATGCCATAATTTTTAAAAGCAGTCACTCGAACTTCAAAGGAAACTACTATCAGCCACATCTGTCAATTCACTTAACTCCTGCCACATAAGGCCAAGATAACCACAGAGGTGTTTTGGAAAATACCTTGAGTTTAAACATCTGGATACCATTCCAAAGAAATCATCTTTAATGTTGCCTCGGACAATAACTTCTGACTTCCCCCAGTTTAGTTTACATTAAGAACACATAGAATAATGTTTAGCTGGTGCATTAATTGCATGGTCTCTGAAATGTATAAGCTCTATAGATAAGCTAAGCTTTACATCTGGCCTCTATTAGCCAATGTTATCTAGCAGATCCATTATTTTTCTATTGCAGGGATTACACTTTTGATTTTGTAGCACTTACATCCCTTTTAAGGTAAACTCAGATAAATTTCCGAGGAAAGTCATTTTAAAATATGAATCTATCCCACAAATTCCAATACATGCACAGCAGTGATTCATTGACACTTCTTTCATGATCAAAATCATTTGATACCAAAGTATAATTAGGTTTAGGTTTAGGTTTAGGTTTATTAGATTTATATGCTAGAGAGGACTTATAAGCACTACAATAAGTATCAATGCTTATCCTTTTAACAGCACCTTTAAGGACAAAGCTTGCCTTCTCAATCAATATTTTCTGGCATCCTTTAGCCACCTATAACACATTTAAACTCAAAGAACTCTTCTAATGTGAGTTGTCAATCATTATGGCAGCCTTCCCAAACTGGCAAATCATGCCTTCTTATCTTCAACGGTGATTCAAACTCATCACCTGACAGCAGTGGCCCAGGTGTCACTGGAGGGAGGACTTGGAAGGACCCATCCTGGTGGAATGAAATCTCCTTCAGGATGATCTGTAGGCACCAAGTATTGATCCCATTCATGCCTTTAAGGGAAAAAGTTAGACAACACACTGAGCACTGTATCTATTCCTTGCCTGAATTATTTCACCCAAAGCATGCATTCAGACAACTGCAGTTGAGTACGGAGTTCACAAATAGGTGCAAAATATTATAGTAATGTGGTTGCAGGCAATATGAATGAACTGTGGCTACTCCAGAGACCATCAAAAAAGATGTTCTATTTATATTTCATCTTTCTTTCAAGAGCATGCAATGGCATAGATTAGATCCACTCCAATTTTATCTTCACAATTAGCTTGTGAGGTAGATTAAGATATTGGATGCATTCACACAACAGGTTTGAATTAACTTGTCTTGTGGATTTGCACAATAAATCAAATGGCTGGCGTTTGTATAACAAATAAGTCATAAAGTACTAGCCAAATACAGCACGTTGTGCAAATGCAGCCATTAGGTTTATAAATGATTTAGTTCTATATACGGTATAAATGCAAGACTGTTTTTTGAGTGACCTGCCTGAACTTGAGTGGTGGGCTGAATCAAAATCTCAAGATTATAATCTACGATAGATACCCATACTGGTTCTACTCTGGCCAGAGAGATTCCATCATGCTGGAGACGGAATTTATATCTTTTGTTAGAGCAATGCGTATATATTACAAAAACAAATGATCTTTCCTATTTCAAAGAGAAACAAAGCACACAAGGAAATTAGGTGGGAAGGAAGATACATAAAAATGGTCTTTTCTCGCCATTAATTTCAGTTTTGGGTCTCGTTAAAACCTCAACAGGTTTTATTAAACAGGACTATAAATCATTCTGGCAATTTATTGTTTCACATTACAGCATCCCGAACAGACAACTTTAATGCTTTACAGGACAATAAAATATTTACTTTACACAACTACTGACAGTTATACAACCTGAGTGGTGCATACTCAACAGTTGCAACTAAACATTAACATCTATAACAAATGGATTAAAAAGGAATTCATATGGAAGCCAGAATTCAAGACAGCTGAGAATTCCCAGGTTTTTATGTAAAATAATGTACACCAACACCTCAATTTGTTTTATTTACTAAACAATGGCTCTTACCTGATCTGGAGGAGAGCTGGCAAGGAATATTCAGCTTGCAAATAGTATTGTGTGAATGGCTCCAAGACGTGGCTAAATGGAAATTCTTCTAAAAATATAAATAAGTAAGAAAATCTTTACAGTCACCGAAATAAAAGCCTCCATTAATTGTAAGAATAGATCTCCTAGGTCAGCGATGGCGAACCTTATTTGGCTCGTGTGCCATAAGCGGGGGGAGCGCAGGGGGGGGTCGTGCATGGGTGTGCCACACCCATAATGCAATGTGTGACACTCCCCAGCGTGCATGTGCGCATGACAGGAGCTCCCCTCCCCCATTTTTTGCATGCTTTTTCCCCCCTCCCCAGAGGCTTTATAGGAGCCTGGGGAGGGCGAAAACAGCCCCCCCTCCCCGAGGCCCCCCGGAGGCTTCAGGAGCTTCCCTGAATCCTCCGAAGCGCAAAAAAATGGCCCTACAGGCAAACCAGAAGTCACTTCCGGGTTGCTTGTAGGGCCGATTTTAGCCTTCCAGAGCGTTCAGGACAGTGGTGGTTTCAAAATTTTTTAGAACCTCTTCTATAGGTGTGGCTTGCTTTGTGGGAGTGGCTTGCCGGCCATGTGACTGGGTGGGCGTGCCCAACTTGTAAAAAGTGGTGAAACTCACTTAACAACGCTCTTGCTTAGCAACAAAAATGTTGGCTCAGAAACTCTGGCATTTGAAGCACGCAAGTCTTAAAGCTGTCAAGTTAGAACACCCCTGGGGTTTTTTTCCTAAAAGTTT